TCTCTCTCCCTAAGGCCTTTAAATAAGGTCAGAAATCTGGGAGTAATAATGGACTCTGACTTAAACTTCAATAGCCACATTGGATCGGTAACATCAGCAGCTTTTTATCATCTGAAAAATATTGCCAAAATTAAAAATATTGTGTCCAGGGCAGACTTGGAGATTCTTATCCATTCTTTTGTTTCCAGTAGGCTGGATTACTGCAATGGCCTGCTCACAGGTATCTCCAAACATGCAGTAAAACAGTTGCAGTATATTCAAAATGCTGCAGCCCGAGTCCTGACTAGAACCAGGAAGTACGACCACATTAGTCCGGTCCTCAGGTCTCTGCACTGGCTTCCCGTGGCCCAGAGGATAGACTTTAAAGCAGCTCTCATGGTGTACAAGTCTCTCCATGGCCTTGCACCAAAGTACATCCATGATATGCTAGTCCCATATGAACCAGCCCGGACTCTGAGGAGCGCAGGGACGGGACTCCTGTTAGTGCCCAGAGTCAGGACTAGACAGGGGGAGGCTGCTTTTCAGATTTATGCAGCTAAAGTCTGGAACAGTCTTCCTGAGGATGTGAGACTGGCTGCCTCTCTGTCAATGTTCAAATCCATGTTAAAGACTTTTCTTTTTTCCTGTGCATACAACTAGAGAATTTTATCTTTTTAACACACCTTGTTATTTATTGTTGTAACTTTTTGTGTTTTTAACTATTTTATTGTTTTTAATTACTTGTGTGATTCTTATGTTTTTAAATTACTTATGTGATTTTAATGCTTTTTAATTACATATGTGTTTTTAATTGTATTTTAATGGTGATGATTTGTGCATTGTGTGGTGTGGACTGTGAGGCGCTTTGTGTTGCCCTGTGCAGGAAAAGCGCCCTATAAATAAAGATTGATTGATTGATTGATAGAGTGGAGCTAAAGAGCAGGAAGTTTGTTGCACAAAAGTGTAGATTTATAGAAAACCAATTTATCTAGAAAAAAATATAATTAACAATTTCAGAATGAGAAGGGACGCCAAAATCTCCAACCTTTGTGAAAGCTGTAGGTTCCCTGTCAGCTGAAGACTAGCCGTTTTAGGTCACATTGAGGTCTATAGGGAAATCTCCTGTACAGCCCATGGGGATTGTCAATGCTAGACACTGGTTTAAGCTAGCAATACTCTCTCCACATAATATAATACATCCGTGGGAAAACCTCAAAACAGTTATGGCGATTTGGTATGAACAAGTCAACTTTGATAGTGTTCTTGCAATATTAGGTTTAACACGTTTTGAGACTAAATATGTGCTATGTTTCACAATTGATATATATTGTCCCCAGGCACAAGGCCGACATGTAAGAATAATATTTTGATTATTTTTCTGATTGATGTGGATGTATTCTTGATTATAAACATAGCAGACGAGAGGCCACATTATTTATTATATTATTATTATTCTCATGCTGATTATCCATCACAAAGCAGAGTTGATTAAATCGTGCTGGTTTAGTCTGCGTATTATTTTTTATTTTTTTATTTTTTCACATCACCATGATAATAATAATAATGCACAGGTTTTATACAGCGCTTTTTTGGGCACTCAAAGATGCTTCACATGTCATTATTCTTTCCCTCCATACACAGTGGTGATAAACTATTACGGTAGCAACAGCTGCCCTTGGGCACACTGTCAGAAGCGAGGCAACCAGTATGTGCCATTGGCCCCTCCCACCACCACCAACCATTCACGCATGTGTGTCTTTTTAAAATATTTTTGTTAATTCAACTGGAACCCAGACAATGACGTCAAGGACTGAATATCTCCATTCAAATAACATGCAATTCAATTACATGCTACCATGCGAGATTCAGATCCTCTCACTTTTGACCTGGTTACGTTGCACAGTTCCTTATCATTCTATCTTTCCACATAATACTTTTCCAATATCATATCTCCTACGCATCTCCTGGTCCTCTTTCGCAAGCACTACAACTGATGAGCTCTCTCCAAAACATCATTCTCACACAATTAATCATATTTCCCTGATTTATTTTCTTGTCTCTCGCGGCGGCTGTTTGCGTTCTCTCTGGAGATTTGGCGGCGTGAAGCATTGAAGTTTTTTACCTTGATAATACATATACAGGGTTCTGAATGGCGGAGCGTGGGCCAGGAATGTCTTTGTTGCTGAAGGACGTTCAGAGGTGACTGCGTGGATGTAGTTTGTAGCGAGGCTGCGTCTAGCATGCCATTGTTAGCTGTTTCCTGGAAGCTCTTAAAAATACGGCTCGAGTTTGAAAACAAATTCTCCATCACATGTATTTCCATTAGTTTTTTTTGTTGCAGACACCTATTCACAAGCTGTTCATAAACGCTGTACACAGCGGGATATGTATACGGTAACTAAATGTCATATTTGTGTTTAGTAACACAGATGAGAGACCAGAGAGGGATAGACCAGAGAAAGAGAGAGAGAGACCAGAAAGACAGAGAGAGAGAGAGAGAGAGAGAGAGACCAGAAAGAGGAAGAGAGAACAGAGAGAGACCAGAGAGAGACCAGAAAGAGGAAGAGAGAACAGAGAGAGACCAGAGAGAGACCAGAAAGAGAGCACAGCGAGTGCTTTGCTTATTTTTCAACTTTTATTCAAAGCTGACCTCAGAGGAAGCTCCATATACAGTAGATCAACAGATTAATATTTCATTTATATTATACAACTAGAAAATCACTTGAAGAGCACAAACCACTGCCAAGAGGCACAGTCCCATTCCTTTGAACAACCCTGGATCTAGATGGTGCTTCCTGAAATAAAATATAACCATAAAATGTTTAGGTGTCTTGCTAACATACAGACGAGACAGACCCTGGTAATATACTGATGTGCCTTACTGTACACTTCTCGTTTATGGTTGGGTGAAGCCATCTATGCAGCTATATGTGTAATTCATGCATAGAGGCCCAGGAATTTACTGGAACTGGAGGCTTTTTGCCAAGAAGAATGGGCAGCTGTACCATCAGAGAGGAGAAAGAACCTCATCCACAACCATCACAAAGGACTGCATGCCGTCTTACATGTTAAAGGGACAATACAGACTATTGAGAAATGAACGACGGAGACTTCTGATTGGTGTCATGTGATTATCTTATGTCTTCCCGCAACCACTAACAATGAATGACAAAAATATGTTGCGTTCATCATTCTTAACCTTTGAAATATGCAACTGTGTATATATCTCAGTCCTTTCCTTCTTGCCTTCTTCTTTACTTAGCTTTGGAATATATCGGATATACTCTATCGTACATGTGTGGTCAACATGTTCTATATTTTTCTAAAGCCTTATAATTACGACAATTTAGCACGGACAATTTCTCCCTCCAAAATCAGGTCTTGTCTCATGGAAATTCTGTCTTGTATTAGTTCTAGTTTTACTTGGAGCTAAAGCTACATTCCTCACACAATCCCTACTCATCTTTAGTTTCCAAGCAAGACTTTTGGTTTTCAATTTACACTAAACCACAAACCAGAGAATAGACTTTAAAGCAGCTCTGTTTGTGTACAAGGCTCTCTATGGCCTCACACCTAAGTACATCTGAGGCATGTTGGTGCCAAATGAACCAATATCGGGATCAGAGGAGCACAGGGACTGGCCTCCTCCTGGGACTCTGAGGAGCACAGGCCTCATGCTGGTGCCCAGAGTCAGGACTAAACACGGGGAGGCAATGGTGGCTGAGTGGTTAGTGCTTAGTGGTTAGTTACCTTGTGTATGAACTGCTATACAAATAAACTTGCCTTCCGTTGACCATACGTCCAATGTTGGCCCATTTTTAGTTTACTACTCAAGCAAAACCTGCTACAATGCCTGTAACTTAAGAATGGAGTAGGATTGGTTGGTCTAAACAAAGATAGCTGACTATATGTTTGTCCTCTGGGTTAAACTTGGTAACGTGGTCTGCATTGTTAAGAATCATTTGAATAGAAAGCGCTTCGTTGATGAGTAATATTACATGACATTCTCAGTGTCCTGTCACTGACGACGAGAACAGAACAATCGCTGACTAACACAATGATGAAAGCTTTTGTCTTCATGAATCATTTTAAACAGTTTTATCAACAATCTACAAACTTATCCTCAGACATGCTTTCTTTGAGTGAATCCACCTCAAAGAAGGATCAGACCTTGTGTCTGGATATGGCACCAGTCGCAGTCTGCCTTTCAGATAATCTATACCAGGGGTCTCCAACAGTTTCAATTCATAAGCTGAAGTGGCTAAACACAATGAATGATTTTCTCTGGTGGAAAATATGTCAAAGATTGAACTATTCTCATTACAAAAGTAAAAGATAGATACAACATACAAATAATCGGGGACTTAATGGTTGTAGGTTTGATCCCCCCATGAATCTGCTGTTGTTGTGTCCCTGGGCAAGATACCACCACCTGCAGGAGGATCAGTGAGGGGCTGATGCTTTGAGACTTGTGTGGCAGCTCTGATTGCCACCACCCCAACCCAAAAATGGAACAAAATAAAGGGGTAAAAAATGACTTAACATTACTTTCTTTTCGCAAAGTAATAAAAGACCAAATTGAGTATGTGTTCTGCTAGCCTTCAGGATAGCTTTGCCCCTAAAAATAGCTCCAGAAATAACAAACTTTGCTTGTGGTACTGGGATTACTGCCGATCTCCGTACGGGGTACACACCACTGGATCCTCGTTGCTGACGGCGTATTTTGCTTGTCTCTGCGTTAAACTCCCCTCTCCTTCTTTCCCTCTTGGTGCTGGAATTTCGACCGCTCCGTTCCCCGCATTTGGCACGCACTTGTGAAAACAATTCCCCAGCTTTTAGTCACTCGCCGGATCCAATCGCCATTTCCACTTTGCGGCGAGTGCAAGGGAGAAACAGAGGACTTTTAATCTGGTTGGACACATGCCGCGGCCGGTGGAGTGCTGTCGAGATATTAATAACTTATGAGCGCTGTCTGGCAGAGGAGGATCACTGTTGTGTGTCTGTGTCTTTTTGTGTTGCAGAGGTGACAAGGCGGGGAGAGAGGAGGAGAAGGAGGAGGAGGTGGGAGACAAAGTGGGACTAAATGAAGACTTTGTGAACATGTGCAGAGGAAGGGCTCGTCCTTTCGCTGCAGAGACTTCCACAGATGCTTTGGCCCAGAGAGCGATGGAAACCAACGCTACAAGTAAGTCATGCTATTGTTTGTAACGTGTAGAAAGATGTTTTATCAATGTTTGTGTGAATGGATGTGTTTCTGCTGCTGGACACCTGAATTTCTCCTACATCAGAAGTGTCAAACTCATTTTTGGTCGGGGGCCAAATTTAAAAACACAGCTGGTTGGGGCCAGAAGTATAAACGTGGTATAAAAGTTTTTATTTTATTTTAAATATTTTTGACAAATTATTGTAAGAGTTTGGGCATCATTTTGTAGTAGGTTTGGATTCAACCACAACTGGGCAAAATATCAAGAAGAGATATGTGTCTAAGAGATGTGTCTATCTCAATCAATTGGGATTAAACTTGTTGAGTCCTAGTAAGTAGTAAAAGTAAATCTAGGTAGTCCAGTAAAGCACAGACGAATACTTACTCTATGTTGCGGCTCTCTGTGGATTGCAGTGTTGAAATTACTGTATCTGATAGTGATGATGTTGGAGATAAAGCCAACAGGAAAGCAGCCAATCGCCTCCTACTACACATGCATCCAGTCTAAGTCAGAGAAAGTGCTATCGGGGACATCCCTATCTCCATTTGAACCAGAGTCAAGTCCACAGTCAGCATTTGTGCTTGGAAAATATGTGTGCGAGTTAATATCTGTGTGTGTCTGCCAAGTGTGCTTCCTTCAGCCAAAACCCATGAAGCACTTGTAGTAAACAGAGCGTTCTCTCTCTCCGTTTCTCTCTCTGCAGACCCCAGCCAATCCCACAGCACAACTCCCAGCGCGTGAGCCAAACGGGACATCGCCCAAGTATACTACCGACATCTGACCCAGCACACAACCCACCGCCATGACCTCGGAGCTGGAGAGTAGCCTCACCTCCATGGACTGGCTCCCGCAGCTTAGCATGAGAGCGGCCATTCAGAAGACAGACCCGGGTCACCTGTACCACCACCACCACCAGGGCCACCACCTCCACGCGCCGCACCACCTACTCGGACACCAGCACCACGGTGGGGCCAAGAAGATCGTGCACCTGGACCAGAGCACCACCCTGGATCAGGAGGAGGCGGCACAGCACAGGGATGGGAAGCCGCCCTACAGCTACGCTAGCCTGATTACGTTCGCTATCAATGGTTCGCCACGGAAACGCATGACTCTGAGCGAGATCTACCAGTGGATCTGCGATAACTTCCCGTATTACAGAGAGGCGGGCAGCGGCTGGAAGGTAGGAGACTTTATTTGATTTTTGATTGCAGAGGGGGAGGAGACTTCTAATCAGGGTCAACGGTTTCTAATGTCATTATCATTTCACAATAGAAAACAATTTGACAGTAGATGGCTTCACTCAGTAATTGAGTGAAGCCGTCTCATGACCAATTTGGTGATATCAGCTGGAAATATAGAATCATTTACAAAGGCACACCAAAAAATATCTCAAGCCCAGTGGAAAAAAAACACTGCTCTAAATTTCTGGACTGCCTTGCATGAACTTAGATTCCTCCAGCAGCTCAATAATATTATAATTTGAAAATGGAACCTCCAAATCTTCAAAATACACAACAAAATTGATAAAATATGAGGAAAAAATTGCTTGAATTGAGTGGTTTATCTTAATCTGAGTACATTCTGGGTTCAGGGTTGGAGTTCATCGTTTTGGGCTTGCAGCCACCAATTTGTTGTAGAAAACTATGGCTTTCTCAACCTGCTTCCGGTATCTGTAAATATCGGTATCGGCAGATACCCATAGGTCTGAAAGCTGTATTGGTATCGGTAGTAAAAAAGCTGGATCGGTGCATCCCTATTCAATGGGTCAATTATTAAAGGTTTTATTCTGAAATGACTTGTTTCTTAAAGTGTTTCCAAACTGACCTCTGTTTGTACGAGGGCTTCTTTTGCTGCTAGAGTCATAAGCCGTTTGTCTCCATTTCTTTGATGTGTCGGAAGGCTCCTGTAGAAGCTCAGGTTTTTTGCCTTGGCCTACTTTTGTTGCAACATGTAAGACTGCAAAGCAAATCACAATCATATCACATTCTTATGGTTAATGCCTCACTGATTTCAGGTGATGTTAGAGCTTGGAAATGCCAAAAATCCACTTAACCATAGTGACGCATTAACCAAAACAATATAAAAAAGTAAACAAACTGGGGTAATGCGTTATCACACTAGAGAAAGGAATACATTGGGTTTTTTATTGATCAATGCATTTTAAAGATACATCTGTCTTTTCTAGTTTGTGTTTTAACCACCAAAACAAGTTTATTTACTTTATTCAGTATTGCTCCCAAACCGGTCTTCTTCTTCAAAAATTTAAAAAGTAACTGAGTATTACATTGCTAGTGTGAGTCGCCCACATATGTTCAAACACGTGCATTTCTAACATAAGCCTGGCTTTTCCCTGCGCTCTTACATGAATCTGCTGAACTTGTCTCAGTATTTGGTGGTTACAGACAAGCTTAACTGGACGAGAAAGGTTTTGATCCAGTTACAAACCAAACAGACTGGTTTTTCACTAGTAAATCGCTGCATCTAGGTTCACATGTGTCTTTGCCAATCGAATTACATCAGAGTAAGCCCTACACCTGGGCTTCGCAAGTGCCATATGAAGGTACTCACTGTAGGTATTAGAGCAAAGACCAGAGTCTAACCATGGATAAATAGTAGTTCATCTAATAGGCACGCAATGAGAGCTTTAGAGCAACTAATGCTGGGTGGACTTGAATTTCTTTTAATCATGCATTCACTGTGAAAAAAAAGTTACAAAAGTCTATAATTTCACCAACTTGGACACATTTTGGACACACATCTGCGATGGTGTCCAAATAATGTACATTTCTAACATAAGCCTGGCATTTCCCTGAACTCTTTCATGCATCTACTGAACTTGTCTCAGTATTTTAGTTGACGTAGTTATATGTATGCGTAACCAAAGTAGAAATGAATTGATCCAGTGATAAACAGACTTTTTCACAACTAAATCACCACATGTAGTTTTACATACATCTTGATCAACCGCTCAAAGCTCTTCACATCAAGGAACGAATCACCCACTCACGCCCACATTCATACACCAGTTTATGTAGACACTGCGGGAGAGGCAATTTAAGTTCTTAAAATAAGAATAAATGTTTGTCCCTCTGGCAAATCTTATAACAGTCAGAATACACTCAAATTAAGATTAAAACCACTTGATTCAACCTCATATCTTATCATTTTTCATAAATTTCACAATTCAAACAAATGTATATTGTAAGTAAAACAAAATCTTATCCCATCCGGTTGTAGCCTCCTGGTTTTTTAATACGTTCAAATCAGATTTTGTTATTGCCTTCAACCCCACACACTCACACACACCCAAACCCTTTAGTGAACTGCGGATGATTGGCACCTGCACTTCTCCCCATTCAGACGCCATTATTAAATCCGTATGTAAATGTAGTTATGCAAATCCTTGGTTAATCTCAGCGCAGAGGTGGCACTGATACTGCCAGCCAAATGAATAGGTCCCTATGGCTGCGTCTGGGGGATTCTCTGCCTTATTAGCGAATAAGCAGTAGAAGGATGCTGCTCCTCCACTGACACATTGAAAAGACTGTCTGCGAACGCTCAAACCAATTCATCTTTTTGAGAGCGGGGACATATTTCTACCACTCATTATTTCCCACATTTCTCAAGCTTCTTCTCCCTCCTTCTTCCTTGTATGCCTCTCATACAAATGTCATGCCAAGTAGAACAGGACAAAAAAGGTTAGGATACAGGAAACCAGCTTGTCTCTGCAGACGACCTTACCTGCATGCACTCAATTAGTATTCCCCCTCTCAGTGGTGTGGTCTCTCTCTGTCTCTGGTCTCTCACTGGTCTCTCACTATGGTCTTTCTCTTGTCTCTTTCTAGTCCATCTCTGGTCACTGGTCTCTCTCTAGCTTCTCTCTACTCTCACTCTGGTGTCTCTCTGGTCTCTCTATGATCTCTCGCTTGTCTCTCTCTGGTCTCTCTTTGCTCTATCCCTATAGTCCCTCTCTGGTCTCTCTCTCTCTCTATGATCTTTCTAAGGTCTCTTTCTAGTCTCTATCTCTGGTCTCTCTATATCTCTATGGTCTCTGTTTGGTCTTTCTCTGGTCTCTCACTGGCCTCTCTTTGGCATATCTCTCTGGTCTCTCTCTGGTCTCTCTCTCTGGTCTCTCTCCTAGTATCTCTCTCTGGTCTCTTCCTCTCCCTCCTTCTTCCTTGTATGTCTCTCATACAAATGTCATGCCAAAGAGAGCCAGACAAAAAAAGGTTAGGATACAGGAAGCCAGCTTGTCTCGGCAGACGATCTTACCTGCATGCACTCAATTACTTTTTCCCCCTCGCAGTGGCGGAAGAAGAACACCGTCTTTGCCTTTGCGGCGCATATTGGGTAGCCAGGTTGGTTCAGTATCTGGTAATTAAAAGGCACATTTCATTGATTCGCGTGTGCCGCTGCATTCAAGCGACATCATTAAAAAAGCACGGTGCCAAAAGAAGGTGGCATTGTGGTTGTGGACTCGTATATTACCTGGCCTCGTATCATGGTATTAAAGCAAAGGCCAGAGTCTAAGCAATGATAAATATTCATTTATCTGCTATGCACGCAACGAGAGCTTTAGAGCTAGTAAAGCTGGCGTACCTAACTATATTTTCTCATGCATTCACTGAATAAAGTTATGCTCATGTTTGGCAAAATGTATCTTAATTTTAGCACATTTTGACTGCACTAAAATAAGATTTGTCCCGTTGGGCCTTTAGAGTCCAAGGACAGTGGTGATGATGCACTCGACATTCAACAACTTCTATGGACATTGGTCATCTGCCCTTTATGAACCAATGACTATGTGTTTTTCCTCATTGCATTTGTTATGTAGAAATGCAATTAGAAAGGGGTTGATTCTCTGATCGGTGTTGTTGACATCTTTGTAAATTCAATCTATTCAAAAATAGATTGAATTGAATTGAATAAATAAAAGTTAAAAAGTACAAGAAACAATTGTCTACAGAAACAGTTTAAAGTTTATTGCAAGATCATCAAGGTGATTTGTTCAAACTAATAACAGCTTGCGGAAAGAAGCTGTTAGCATATCCAGATGTCCTGCTTCTCAGTGAACGATATCTTCTGCCAGAGGGAAAAAGCTGGAACATGGCTTTTCCAGGGCCAGAAGAGTCATTAGTTATTCTAAGAGCTCGGTTTAAGAGTCTGGATTCATAAAGAACCTCCAGAATACAGCTCACAGTCCTCTTTCAGAGCTTTCTCTCTATTCTTTCTTTAATCTCTTTATGGTCTGTGTCTGGTCTCTCTGGTCCCTCTCTGGTCTCTCTCTAGTCTATCTCTGGTCTCTGTCAGAGCTGCCACCCAAGTCTCATAGTACCAGTCCCTCTGATCCTCCTGCAGGTGGTGAGTCCACAGGAAGATGGCACTTAAGGTCACAGCAGCAGAGGTAGCCACTGAGTTTGGACCATTTCCTTTGCTCTGGTTCAGAATGTAAATCTGAATGCTTTATTAAAAATACATTCTTCCAGTGGATTTGCACTTGATCTGCTTGGTTCGGACTGTGCATCCTCTCTGCTCAGGCAAGTTTATTTGTACAGAACAAAGGCAAGTTTATTTGTATTGCACAGTTCATACACATTCCTCGCCGATGCAAGAGAGTCTCTCGACATTCAACAACATTTATGGACATTGGTCATCTGCCTCTTTTGGACCAATGGCTCTATGTGTTTTTATCTTTGCATTTCCGGTGTTTGGACTGTTGGATTCTCTGATCTGTGTTGCCAAATCGACGGCTTGTAAAGGGCTTGTAGAGATAACTATTGTTGCGATTTAGGGCTATACAAAAATAAAGTGTATAGAATTCACAAGGCAAAGGCTTGTTATGTTAAGGACTCAAAGTACGTAACATAACAAGATAGAAACAATCACACAAGGCATTAAATACATGAAGAATGTTTTGATTTCTGTCTCTTAGCAATGTTTCCTTGAGTGGTGAGGCTTCTGCTTCAGCTTAGTTTTGTTGTTCTTCATACGTTTGTGGAGCCACTTTTTGTCGAACAAATGTTGTGAAAGTGAAATGTACTTGGAGTAGGGATGTAAATCGGTGACCGTTTAACCGGTGGTTGACCGTCACAGCGTTAACCGGTCAAAGCTGTCGGTTAAAAAAGAGAAAAAGGGGAGAGGGGAGGTCTTTTCATAACGCTATTTTAAGCCCTATTTGCA